AAGCAGAGGTGCAAGGAAGAGGGAAGACAATAGAAATTTTGTAAAATTTGGGACAGCAAAAATAAGAGAAGAGAACAAAACGGTGGAGATAAGGACATGTAATAAGAGATCCGTACACAAGTGTGTGTGTGTTGGCGTGTGTGCGTGCATGTGTGTGGGCGCGTGGGTGTGTCACATGTTCTGAAGAAATATTCGGCAAACCATTCTGCCTCTGTTTCATCCCCTAGCTGTAAACACAGGGAAGTGGATAGGAATCAGGCACTTATTGAAAAGTACATATACACATATGTTGAAGAGCAGAAAAGGGGAAAAAAAGAGATGGGACAGGAGGGAATTAGTCCTTAAAGACTGCATATATCTATGTGCAAAGAAAATCCAGTCCCTATTAATTCAGATGCGTAGATGCATGCAGAAATAGAAATGCTCAGAGTGTGCTTGTTTTCTGGTTAAGAAGCCTTCACCTGACATCGTCACGATAAATGCGCGATATTAGCACCTCGCCCTTGTGATTGTACACGAACAGACCACCGATCATGCTTGTGCTGTCATTCTTCTGTACGTTTGCTCACAATAAAAGCGAACGAACGAAAAATGCGTAACCCAATCTCCAGAAACCCTGCAAAATAGGTGGACAACGAAAAAAGTAAACAAACAGCGCCACGAGGAATTCCAGCATGCCGTTCAGACACCAAACCACGATCGACACGAAGCAGTTTGGGCCAAAGCCATTGCAGCACTGGGACTGACAAATGACTGGCGCACACCTCAAAGATCTCGATTCTTGGCACTCCTGCAACGAACTCCGTACCCCCCCCCCTCTTTCCACCCCCTTAACCGCTCCCCCCAAGTTACATTCTCGGCACGCCAGACACTGTTGTTCACCACAACAGCGACAACAGTCATGATCCTATCGCCACTGCATTCACTACTGAGCGGTCGGTGTGCTTCTCAAGATGCACAAAAACGTACGCATCTGCCCTCCCCCTCCTTCCGAAGCCGACCCTCCTGTAGCAACCCCGTGCACATGAGGCAAATCAAAGTCGGGGATCCGAGGAGCTATGGTCAACCATTCAGAGCAAGAAGGTGCGACACCAGTTAAAGCCAGGAAGGGCGTATAGTTTGACCCGAAAAGTATCCGAACTAAAAACGCTACAGCGATGGAAATAAGAGAACTGGACACTTCTGGGGAGGGGGAGCGCTGGAGCCAAGCGATCCGTAGTACACAACGCACTGTCCAGCCCAGTGGACTGTATTCAGGTAGGGTGCGCACTGCCCGTCCAACCAATACCGCTCCATAAAACAGGGACCCCATCTCCATGGGCGCACCGCAACACACAAAATCTGCACCACCGACTACCAAAATTGGCCCACGTTGCCGACAATATTGTACTGCTGTAGTGTTGCGAAAGTCCTGAAGTACGGGAGAGGGATGTGGTAGGTATGTTCAGTTGTTGCTACTTGGGTTTAAGTTAGCAGTGTGTTATTTCATTGACTATGCTTGTGCAGTCGTGACTCCAGCTTCGTCGTAGGGGACAGCGCGTTTTTTCATGCAGTCTGAGGCCCGTGTTTACAATTGTACACCCACAGAACTGTGTGTACCTGTATAGATCGAGAATACCAGGGTTTCTCACCCCACTTTTTTTTCACACACCTTGAACGGGGCGGGGATCTCCTGTAACTTACTAAAACGAACCATGAATTACTACTGCATCTCCAGCTTTTCCTTTTTTATGAGTTTTGTGCTGTGCAACAGCTGCATGAAACGCATATTGCGTGTATG